ACACACACACACACACACACACACACACACACACACACACACACACAATGGTTTTAAACGTCAGTGTATAATGTTCCATGTAACTCAAACATTGTTTACCGACCAAAAACCGATAGTCTGCGGCCACCTTATACGTTGTTCAATCTGGCAATAAAATAATCATTATAATCATTGCAAGCCAACATTTTGAGACGGGAAATTGGTATCGTTATTGCTGTTATCAGCGCACTCGCCTACGACCTTAATCTCCCCTCCTTGCTATGCATGTAGATAAAATCTGTAACAAAATTTCCAAACATCGTGAGCCGGGTGTTTAACAATTTTACGATTACAATTTTCCCCGATTGTGGAGAAGTATACCATATACCCTACTCGAACTGACTAATCTCTGTCCTTCCGTCGGCATCATAAGCGTTATGGGAAAAGAGCGGCGTTAGCGGGCGGTGGTTTATTGATTGTGTGTGTCGCGCTGCTGCTGCATGCTCTCGACTCCGCCGCTGCTGCCCATGTACGCACAACATACACTCGCGCACATTGCGCTCATAACATATAGTTGTGTGTGTGTGTAAGTTCCTTAAAAAAAAGGCCTCTTCAAATAAAAAAATTTTCGACATCTTTAATAAATTGTCCCATTATAAACAATAGCTATTAGGTCTTCCGTTTCTGCGATATTTTATTTCTTGTAAATAGTAATTATTATATATTGTTTTGACTTCTTTAAGACAGTAATAATAATAATTTAATCGTGTATTGCTGTTTTATAGCTTTTGAACATATTAAACTGTTTTTTTTTCCGAACACTTAAAAACCATCTTGTTAATATATATTTTCGGATAACAAACAGCTTTTCACATAAAGTACATAAAAACATTTTAATTTGTATGTTTGTATTGTGTTAGATAATGAACGCTTCTTTATTAAAAAAATTCCATTAAAATTATAGAGTTATATATTTAATTATTATGGATTTTATTTCGGATAATTTATACGCCGATTACAACTCTATTCATTTTTTTAGTTATTCAAGGAAATGTTTATAAAAAGTTCAGTAATAATAAAATCGATTGGATCGATTTCAATGTATACACAATAGATATTTTAACATGAAATTTTGATTATTTTGTTGATTATGAGTTACTGTTTATTTTATTTTTAAAACTTTGACTTGCTAGTTTATGTAGAATTATATAAAATAAGATTTATCAAATATATTCAATTTACTACTTATGAAATTATATAAAATTTCGTTATGTGAAGTAAAAATAAATCTAAGAATACATATAATTATTGAATAACACATGTTTGAGAAAAAATCTTACAATATTTTTCAATGATATATTTATCTAAGATGTAGGCGTTCAAAGATATTTATAATTTTTTATGTGATTTCTCAACTAAGTTACTTTTTTTAGTCAAATTAGAATATATTAGTGTTTTAATAGTAGTGATTATTTTATTATCTATAATATAGACTTAAAATGATAATTTCATTGGAAAAAATATAGAAGAAGAAACGCTGCAGATTTATTAAAAATTAAATTTTTAAACTCTTGGTGGATTATGGTTTTTTATCTTATGATGCCGAACACCTAACTTGATATTTTACCGAGTAACATTTTTTGTGCCTCGCTATTAATAATAAAAATACAATTTTAATTTAGTATAGACGATGAATAAAACATTTTTGACAATATTGATTTACTGGTATCATCGAAAGGTATATTATTTTTCTAATTATATTCGAGAAATGGAAAGTATATGTTGGAATAATAAACAAAATAATAGTGTAACGTCAGTCAAAATACGTTAGATCCGTAGTAATTATATATATATATATATATATTACTTTCTTCTTCAAA